AATGAACATGATGATACAAACATGAAATATTTTTCATTTCACAAAGAAAGGCTTTATCCCCATTCCCTGTCTCATGTCTCCATTCTGAACTTGCTTTGTTTTTAGTTAAATTATGTTCAAATCACACTTCCATTAGCGTTAATTTGGTGGCTTTTGCAATGTTCTTTCATTCTTTAGCTAGCAAGTGCCTTCTTCCTTGCTTAGCCCTGATGGAGGCATTTTGTTTTGCTCAGGAACGTCTTTTGATTATTGGCCTGAATGACGGAGGAATGCTTTATGCCTGGTGCTTAAATTTTCACTTGAAACGTGTCTCGATAGAACATCTTTGGTAGATATTTCTCTAGCATTGATTTAAGGAAAATTAGGCTTTATACCTGTGCTACCTGAATGCTATTTGCGTCCTGACCCTCATAAAGGATGTCTTAACCTTACTTACTGGTAAGATGTGGGGAAAATTATTGTGTGACTGCTAGGGATTCACAAGCCCTGAAAATTTGATTGCTAGATACTGAAGCCTACAAAATAATTTTGGGCAGCTTTCTGTAGGATCTGACCTGATACTTAGTTCCTTTGACAAGTATAACGTTACTTGTTAAGATACTGCAATCCTTCCAGACTGGCTGGTAAGTAGCCCCTGCAGTAAGCTCTCCTCCACTACTTCTCTCAATTATACCTTGTCTCACCCCAGCTGTGGGAGCCACCCCTACCTCCCACCACCACCACCATTTCACCAGAACCCAGCACTAAAGAATTCATAGCTGGCCTAGCAGGGGCTTTCCGGACTCTGCTCTAATGCTAGTGCCCCTATGGTTGGCTTGACTTTAATTAAGTTGGCAGATGGGTGCCCTGCTGCACAGGTTGTTAAATATTTTAAATACCCCTCCTGTGAGAATTCATTCATCTTGTTACCTGGCTCTTGAAGAATATGCAAAACATTCAGAAAATAGTCCTCAATCTTTGAAAGAAAGTTCTGTTTGGAATGGTAAAAATACTTGAGTTGACTTTTAGATGGTAAGAGGTCACTGTCCTCTCAAAAATATTCCTTTCTTGTATTTTTATTTTTTTTGGAGGTCATAAAAGAGTTGGGAATCTACTTTCTTGACTCACGAGTCAAAACTGGGCTCAGGCTGTTTAAAACATAAGGCTGGGTTTGTCTCCAAACTTTGCACCATGGTCTTGTCTTCAGATCCCAGTTCTGTTAGGTAGAGAGAAAAAACGCAGGTGAGAGTGTGTTTTCTGGCTTCCTCTTTGAGATGCCTTTAGGGCCCCCTAGTGGCTATTTTAAGATCCCAGGTTTCTCAGGATTAGGTCTCCTTGACCCTAATAAAAAATAAAAGAGAGACCTTTCTGAATCTCTTAAGTGACAGATACAATGACTGTGTGGAGAAAAATAAGTAACAGTTGGTTTAGAGGGCTCCATATTTTTTCATTTCTTAGTTCTTAGAAAAAGCTGCGGTGATTTTTAGAAATAACAGATATATCACCTTACATATTTTATTCTGCATTCCTCATACTACATTATGTCACAGCCGAAATCCTTTTAAGACATTTATACCTTGGTTTGTGTCAAAGGGCTATAATTCCTAGGCAACTACATCCTACCTTGGGTTTTCCATACATATGTATATATATATAGTTGCTTGGACTGGGGAGTTCAGGAGCTTTACAATTTTCCAAATGAATTCTTTAAATGGGGGGGGTTGGGTGGGGCTTGACTATTAACTAACTAAAAGGTTCAGCTTGTGGAATACTTCAGTCTGAAAACATTCCTGTCATTCAGAGCATTAGATATGCCACTGACTTTTAAAAACTGCAACCCTGAATTGATAGAGCAAAGCTTTTCCACATTTAATGTGCTTATTGAACAGTGCAAGTGAATTTTGTGAAATCCCCTAATAATTAATCATGTTTTCAATGTACCTTACTGACCAGCGTGAATATTACTCTCTCCCTCACCGTGGGTTATATTTTTCCTTCTAAGATCCAATCTAGAGAATGTACTACACTTGGGTAATTATAATGGAGATGTTTCTTTCCCACATGCTTATCTTTTAGTTTCTGATGTTATTCAATTATTTCTCCTTTGCTTGTAAATTTCAGGTCTCTTTTCCTTTCCTCAGTCACATTACCCTCATTAATATGCTAATGTGCCGTAATAATGCATTTTACACCAGTAATGAAGCGAAGCGAAGCAATAAATAAAAAGAAAGCACAAATTCTTGCTTTAACTTTACCCGGTTCCGGGGCGGGGGTTGAGGTGGGGGAGGAGGAAGAGAGGAGGAAGGAAGGACATTCGGCCGCAAAAAATAAAAATGATCCCCTTGTTTTCAGCGCGTTCTAGAACAGAGCTGCACGTCAGAGGAAGAACGGAACAGCCTTCGAGCTAAAAGGCTTGGCATTAAACTTTGACACTTTAATGGTCCCTAGGATATTAGATAATATTTTATCATATAATGTTCTTTTCCAACACGGTAATGGCATCAAAAACAGATACGATCTCTTATCCCTGCAACGTGCACGCTGAGACTCGTCCCCGCAGAGATAAGACAGCAGGACCCCAGCTTCGCAGTTAACTTATCCCGAAGCTCCAAAGCAAACGTCTTCTACTTCTTCGCCGGGGACGCCGCTGTGCCATCGCCGCCTTCTCCCCGCGTTCCGCTCGGCGCGGTCTGCAGCTGAGATTAGGTAAACAGCGCTCGGGAGCCGGGGAGGACCGCGCTGGTGGTGGCGGGGGTCGCCGTCTGCGAGGCTGGAGGGAAGGGGTGGGGAAGGGTCCCGCTGGGCCGGGCGGGCCGAGCGTGCGGTGACCTAGCGGGGAGCGGGGTCCCTAGCCCAGCAGGCGCGAACCTCCGAAGGCCCGGCCCCCCAACCGACCTCTGGGAGCGTGGCGGCCTTTCCTGCGCACCCCTCCCCTGCTCATCCCTCCCCGCCCTTTCCAGGAACCAGGGTGGGCTTCCCGCTGCGTCGCGCGAGTCCCGGCGCGCACGGAGAGGCGCGGAGAGGGGAGGCAGAGCCCCGGCGGCCCGACCGGCTGGGGAGAGGTGAGGACCCGGGGGGAAGGGGACCCCAGAAGCCCTGGGACCGAGCTGAGGAAAAACCCGGGAGCTGGATCGCGCGCCTGGAGCTTCGGGCTCCGAGTCGGAGTTGTCCATCCCTCTGCGTCCTCTCTCCTCCTTTGGGTTTTCTCTCCAGGGAGGCCGCCCCCCATCCACTCTCACACCCCCGCCCCCTGTACCCCAGCCAGTTTCACCCACTCCTCCGTAGCGTGAGAGAACTCGCAGCACTCCTCGTCCTTAGGACTGGGAGGCTGGAAGTCCATTCAATGGGATGTTGTGCGCGGTTCCTGTGCCAGGAGGGAAAGAGCAAGAATAAAACCAGAACGGGGAGGGGACGTGTGCGTGCATGGGGGCACATGTGTGTGAGTGTTGGAGGGGGCACAGAAATGCAGTTATCCCAAAAGAATAGGGAAAAATCCTTGGACAGGATTCTTGGATACTGAGTCCAAAAAGATGCTGTCAAAGCCCTTCAACGGGGCTTCTCGCAGCCTCAAGCCCCATACCCTGCCCACCTCCGAGAGAAGCGGAGACCCGGGGCGGGGAAACTTCCTACTTCCAACGACGGCTGTTTTGCAAAAGGGGGGTGGGCAGGCTACACGGCCCTGCCAGCTTGCAAGCGTCTCTACAGCAGCAGCTGTGGACCCGTCCCGCTTCCCTTCCCCCTCTTTCTGCGAAGCACGCCAAGCCCGAGGCGGCCGGGAGCTGCCCGGGTGGGGGAAAATGGGCGGGGAGCGCCCAGCTTGCAGCCTTTCACGCCGACCCGGCCCAGAATCCCGGCTCCGGGTGTTGCTGCCGCCTGCCTGCCAGCCAGCCAGCAGCGGCAGGAGGAGGGAGGAGCCTCGCGGGGGGCGGAGCCCAGGCGGGGGCGGGCCCTCGGCTCGCGCGGCTGCGGCGCTTGCCATTGGCCGGCCGCCCGGTCACGGGGTCGAGGGCGGGCGCCGGAGCGGGCCCGGGCCCCGCCCCCGCTCGGAGCCCAGCCCCGGCTCGCGGTCCCCCCCAGCTGCACAGACATGACACAGACACACAGTCACTGCAGCTGCTGAGCGAGCTCGGCGCCCTGGGCACGCGGCGGCGGGGCCAGCCCGGAGCCCGGACCCCCAGCACCCGCCCGCCCGTCTTCCCCGCCGGCCCCCGCGCGGCGGTCCCCGCCTGGCCGGGCGCAGGAGGCGGGGATTGCGCGCCGGCTCCGGCCAGCGGCGCCCGGCTGCCGCGGCTGCAGCGGCCGCCTAGCTCCGAGTGCCGGGCGCTCCGGGAAGCCGGCGCGTCTCGGAGGCGGCGGCGGCCGAGGCCGGCGAGCGCTCCCAGCGGCGGGGGCCGCCCGCCTCGGCTCCCTGCACCCACCGCTCTGCGCTCCGCTCGCCGCGCCTCCGCTCCTGTGACCTTCCCGGGGCGCCTCCCCCGGCCCCGCGCCCCCGGCTCCGCGCCCCAGGCCGGGGCGAGGCCCTCTCCAGCGCCTCCTTCCCGCGGAGCCGCGGGCGGGCGGCGCAGGCCCGGGGGGAGGGGGATCCGCGGCCGGCTGCACCCCCCCCGCCGCCGCGCCGGAGCCCGGGCGCCTGGAGCTGGGGGCGCGGCCGCCCTCGCCTCGCCGGGCCGGTTGCGGGCAGGCCCTGCCCTGAAGGGGCGAAGCTACGGGGAGCGCGGGAGGTGGAGCCGGCCCCGGCGGCCACTCACCGGACCCAACCCGAGGCGGACCCAGGCCCCTGCCCATGCGGGGCGCCCCTGGCACAGAAGAGTCCCCCGGGCTGGGAGCGGTTCCAGGCAGCAGCCCCAGAGGAAGAGAAAGAAGGGACAGTGCTCAGCTTGGGCGACCCGGACCCTCCCCGCGGTGTTTGGAGCCCGGGGCCGTCGCGAAGTCTGCCCTTGGTACCGCCGCTCCGGCTAGGGCAGCGCCTGTCGGGACCACGACCCGGACCCCCTGCGCTTCGTAGGCGGCGACGCCGCCGCGCCACCCAGCTCTTCCGCGGTCTCCCTCTGCCTGGCGGCAGTCTCGGCCAAGGTAAGAGCCCCGGGGTGCGAGAGAGCCGCCGCGGGGGCGCCCTGCTGAGCAGCGCCGGACAAGTTCTCCGAACCTGTGGCTGGTACCCTCTGTACTCGGGACGCTTGAGGGGGGGCGGGCACACCCTCTGCTGCCTGAGCCGGGAGCTCTGGAGGGGCCGGAGGTGGAAGTCCCCGGGACCCGTCTCGGGGCCTGCCCGGCTCGTAGGCACACGGGCCGCTGAGGAGGAGTTTTATGTTAACACCAGAAGGTGATGTGTCCGCCCCCCGCTTGTTAGCTGTGAGCACCTGTGTTTTGGGGAGCCTCTGTTTGGAGAGTTCCCTCTTTGGCGGTACTGACCTACCTTTCCTGGTAGGATGCTGCGAACTTTGCTCCTTGTTGCAGAGCGTGGAGGCCAATTTGTGGGTGAGCAGCCACAGCTTGCGAGTCACTCTTTAGGACGGAGCGGTTGGTTGTAAGGGGAAAACCCAACCAGCAATGTCTGTGTTATTAGACAAAAGCGACTTGTGAGGAGTGATCAATTTATAGCGAGCCAGACATTCTTGTAAATGTCACTGCTTCCGAAGTTTGGAGTGAGGACTCTAAAGTTTGTGCATCCTCAAGTTATTTTGTTCATTGCCTTATTACCTTCTTTTAAATGTTCCTCTTAAGGAACTTCATTTCTACAAGCCTGTCCTTGCCTGTTTGAAATTTATGAAGCCTATGAGCTTCCTCCGGAACAATCTGATTTTAAATGGGTCACTTCGGAGGGAACAGATTGTCTTTTGCACACTGAATCCATCCCCTGGGTGACCCTGTTTAATGGGGATGGATTTTTTTTTTCTCCTGAGCTGATGTACCTCGGTTGAGCAGGTTTCTGCTGAATTCAGAAACCGTGAATTTTGTCACTCAGTCCATTAAAATGATCTCCTAAGGGAGCAAAATAGCAGCTTACATTTTCCGTGAATGTCACAGAAAGTTTTACAGGGTCTTATGTAAGTGCCCCAAGAAGGAGCTCAGACTCCTTCTTCCTCCACGGGGAGACGCGGAGCGGGTGTCTGGAGGGGGTGGCTGGTGGGGGCGTCCACCTCACCCAGACACAGATGCCTTTCCGCTCTGACACAGGTGGAGACCTGAAGTGCTTATTCACTCGGTGGAGGCAGTCACCTCAGGTTAATTTTTCTCCTCACCTCTCCTGGTCTTCCCACCTCAGGAGTCAGCTTTGATAGACTCAAGATAAGGAAAGGTTCTAAATTAAGAAAGGAACAAGGTGGTTTTTTCCCTCTTCCCTCACCAATGGGTGACATGAATGAATTACTCACAGTCATTCTGGGTCCTCACTAGGAGAAAAATTTTTTAAAAAACCTGGCTTTAAGGTTTCACACATCTCTCAGTGAACCTTTATTTTTCAGGAGTACTTTAGTGAAAATTGCTTGAGCAGAACACATTGATTGAAGCCTTTCCCTGTTAATTCCATACCAGGAAGAAAACTAACTCAAACAGAGAAGCAAACTCAGGGAGATTTAGATTGTAGAGGGTTTTCAAGAGTGGTGAGGAAAGGAAACAAAGCCCCCTGGTAGGCATAGAGAGGTTTGTAAAGAAAAGATCACATCACTCTGCCGTAGGCAGTGTCTGTTAGTAAGAGTGGGCCCTTCGGCTTCACTTAATGAAGTGTGCTGGGTTGGGGATTAACTTTTTGATGTGAAATAATGCAGATTCCTTTGGCTTTTAACCGTAACTGGAAGGGCCTTAGAAATGAAGTGGAAGTTTTTTGGTCTCATTATAGGTCCCGGAAGTGCTTCTACCTCTTGGGAAGGTTGTGAAGGTTTCCTTTGGCTCTGGATTCCTGAACTGGGCTTTAAAGTTGATGCAGAATGCAGGAGGGTGTGGCCTGTAGTGTCTCCATTCTTCAGCCACCTACAGTGGCAGGACACTAGGGGGGACTAGTTTTCTATTCCACCGCTGATGAAGAAGACACAAGGACCCATGTTACAAAAGATTGTGGTTTGACATCAGGGCTCATGAACCTAATTTTTTGGTACCCAGTGCATGCTTGCAGTAATGAGTGGATTCCAAATGCTTAAGTGATGGGCCTGCTCTCATTGAAAGTGTTGTTTGGACAACTCAGAACTGGTTACCTGCAAAGTGTTATGTGAAGTTCTGAAAAGACTCAGTTGTAGTCTCCAAGTAGATAAGGGCTGTAAGTTTTGGGGAGACAGAACCTCCTGCAGACTCTACCGTTTGGGCATTAGACCATGCTATCTTTAAATTCTCTAACAGTTTGTAATCAAAACTTCCCTTTTTGATTTTCTGACTGCACACCACCCACAGTCTTCATAACGTCACATTACTTCAAAACATCTCTAGAATCGGCTCCATCAAACTTAAAATTTCTTGCTAACATCCCCTTACATGTGCATGCCTTATAAAGATGTCAACGTTTGACAGTGTAGTTGCACTTTCATCTCAGATGCTCTCTGTACTTTCAACAGTATGAAATCATCAGTGTCTAGGGTTCTTCCAGCACAGTTGTAAGTTAATTCTTTTTCCCTGAAGAACACTGCCCCGTTGCCTAGGCTGACCCACAGTAGCCAGGTCTTATGGAAGCTGACCCCAGAGGTGGGGAGATGGGAGAGATGAGAGGTAGAGTCCAAGAGGAGACTGTCCGGTTTAGAATATTGGCACAAAAAAGACAAATGTCACCAAGATTTAGGTCTTACTGGATTCTAAAAGGGCCAATTCAGCATGTAGAATTAGACCCTGTTTGGAACCTGTGAATCTGCACGAGTTCTTCCTTTTCCCTGAACTCTGGTAGACTGCATTTGTGACCCTTAACCCATTTGTATAGTGCATGTTTGGGTAGTTGAAGGGGAGTGAGAGCTGTTGTGGTCTGGGAAAAAAATGGTCAACATAAAGCTTTATTTCTACCATCAAGGCTTTATAGATTGATTCTTCTAGGCACAGTATAGCTAAGAGGTAAGAGACTGGAACCATTACATTTGCCACTGGGCCCCAACTCGTGAAAGCCTGGTCCTGGAGAGGATGTATGCTGTGGTCCTAAGGCATGAGTGCAGTCTTGTGAATTTGAGGGACGCCAGATGGCAGAGGGAGAGGCAGGATACTGGTCTTAGGATGTGTGAACAGGGGAAGGTGTCTTTTCAGCCAGAGAGTCTCAGAAAGGAAGGAGCACAGTCGGTTGGGGGTATAAGACCTATGGGACTGAGAGCTCCAAGCACCCTGCCATTGGTATACCTTGGGGATACAGCCACCTTGCAGAATCTGCTAGTGTTGGTGAGGCTTCACTGCTCTACTCTAGGGTATTTGACATTGAGAGGTATTCAGCTTTTCTCTTTCCCATTGATATTTGGACAATAGTAGGCAGCAGGTGGTCAAGTTAAGGCTTAATTAAATGTAGTTTAGAAGACTTTTCTCTTTTTAATTTAACATATAATAATGGACCTCTGTGCTGAGGTCACAGAGGCTGCACACTTACCTTGTAGGCTTTTTGTGTGTTGGGGGGGCAGACATTGAAACATTACTGCAAGCTAAGTATTAATATTATACTGTCATGCAGGTTTGTTCAAGGGATGAGTTTGAGCTTGCCAGGATAGTAGGAAGGAAGTCCCAGGCATAAAAACATAAAGAACAGGATGGAAACCTTAAAATATGTAGTGTGCATGAAGAGTAGTCAGAAATTAGTGTGGCTGGAAGGTGGGATATCCTGGAAGAAAGGAAGCTTGGTGTTAGAAGGGAAATAATTTAGTAGGATTCCACGCTGAGAACCGTGCCCCAGCTTCGTGCTTTACATATTCAAACAGTGGCAAGAATGGTTGCTAGATAAGATCCAAGAATACTAGTTGATTATCCCACATGGTTATTAAAAACAGAAAAAGAATTTTTTTTTCCTCCATTATCCTTCTACATACAGCATTTTGCCTGTTCTTTAAAAACTATTAGCAATGCAAATAAAGAAAGGGTCCCTTATCAGCCCTGAGTCTGCCCTCTTGTGTACATGAATTACACCTGGCGCTTTCATTATGTGATTATGCAGCAGTGGGAAAAATGACAATGTTACTTGACAAATGATATAGTATGGAAAAAAAAAAAAACTCCTCTGTGAGAACAAATTCCATTTTGTCAGATTTGCTTCTGGGTAGAGATATGGTCGCGTTTAATACCTGAACAAGGTTCTTATATTAGAATCATTTCAGTTTTGGCCTAAACTTCCTTTACTGTTGGAAAAGGAAGAGTTTTAGAATATTGAGAATGGGAGTGCGGCTGCCACAGGTGTGCATATATGTGTGTTTTGTGGAATGAGCAAACTATATGGTGAGGAAGGAAAAGGAACAGCATAGCTGTCTGGAGGATATTAGAGAGAATGGAAAATTGCAGTTGCAACAGGAATCTCCAAGACCAGGTGGATTTAGTTTTTCAGAAACCGGAGCCAGAAAGACAGTGGTAAAAAGTAAGAAGCCTTTCTCTGTGTTTATGTGTCTTTATTTCTATTATTCACCCCTTTGTTGAGTGGGAGAGACAGGATGGTTTAAGTAAAACCAGGAGACCTGGGGTCTAGTTTTACATCGTCCTATGCCAACTTGCTGTGTGACTTTAGAATAATTCTTGATATCTCTGGGCTTCAGGTGCAATCTCTAAACATCAGTGCAGGGTTATGTATCTTGTAACTAGGAATTTCTATGCCCAGAGAGGGAAAGGGCTTGCGTAACTTAGTTTGTGGCAAAGGTCAGGCTACTCCTTAGGTTTTCTAGCTTTCTAGCTGTGAAATGGGAAGAGACCTGACCAGTTCAAAGGTGAACTCTACCTTGAAATGTTAAAACACCAGTAAGTATGAAATGCTGAAGAAAAGAATCACTAAATCTTTGCTGTGTTGGTTGTGGCCATTTATATACATAAGCAGCCAGACTTGCTGCTAACTTCTTATGTCTTGTGGAAACCTGTTAGTTACAAAATGTTACACTGTTCCTTGGCTACAACATGGGAATTAAGTGCTTTGTGATAAAAAA